AAGTTCCATATGTAAATCGAGTACTCGATAGGGAACATAATATGATATTTTAATCTTTTAATTTTATTGTGATTGACGGTTATTTTTAAATATTTAAATATTTTAATACTATTAATTCACAATATGACGCATCTACAATACCTTAACAAGAGAATTGTTTACTTATTCAGTGTTTTTCTTATTGAGAAGTTCATGCACCTAGCAGCAGCAACCAGACACAGTTGTTAGTAGTTTATATTATATAAAAAATGCAGGCTTTGTGACACACGTGGGTTTCATTGAAACAGGCAGGTATTTAGTACGTAGCTGTCAGTACCATTGTTCTTGTGTCTTGTTTGTACATACAGGATTTGAAGCATTGCCTGAAGTGAAACAGAATGGAAAGTGAAAGTATAGTGCAAGAGATAGTAGCGTAGCAAAGTATGGGAGCATTGAAGGTTAGGTTTGATTTTATCATATCATAATCGGTTCTTAGTTCTGTTACTCTTTGCATCACTACAAACTGATTTTGTTCTCTTACATTCTAAATTGTGTTTCAGTGGGTAAAATGTGTATTCCAAATAGACTTTCCACTTTGGTATACATCCTTGTTATTTTTATGCAAAAGTCAGTATAAGTAAAGATCCAAGACATTTGTATTTAAGTAATACTTTGAAATTATAGTGTTAGAATGAATGTTTATAGTCATAAATGAAATGCACATGCAATTATTTGGTATACATGTTTGTAATTTTTATGCAAAAAGCCTGTATTGGCAGTGATTGAACATATTTCTCTTTGTGTAACAGTTAGAAATTATTGTATAGAAATGAGTGTTTATAGTCAGGAATCAAATGCACATGCAACACAGTATTGCACAGTTTCACAACTTTTTTATAATTTTTTTCCATAGTTTGTGGTAAAAAGCAGTCAGTAAGTATGTCATTGTTGGTCTTCTTGGTTGAAACATGTGAATTTGTAGGTAGATACCAATGTCTTGGAGGAACATTTCCTCCGTCTTCAGGGCTGACATGTGCCTTGAGGATGTAAGCAGTATATTCCTTTGAAACATTGTTGTGTTCCTACAGGTCCACATGGCATAACAACTCAGAAGAACATCATTGACATCTTCACTATCATAAGAACCTCAATCCCTTTTAGTTACCAGTGGGAATTACAGGATGACACTGCATTATGACACAAACATTGTGTGTGTTGAGAGTATTTCTTATTTATATATTTAAAAATGTGTTTCTTTGTATCTCATATGCGATTTTAAGTTATGTATTTTCATTGCATATTGCAGGACATTGGATTTTGTTGATAAATGTTTACTGGAGTTGATCTTTATAAAATGTTGGTTGTTATGTGTTATTCATTTTCAAATGTTGTTACAAATGTAACTACACCAGAAAAAGTATAATAGAGTCTGTTACATTCACATCCATAGCTCCATTTGATTCCACATGATGGGATTTTCTCACGTTTTCCACATGTTTTACATGTTCTGTTTTGTTATTATGTCAGGTATATTGTTGATCTGAAGAAATTTGGACAGGAAGTCATTATGCCACATTCAGGGCATTTGAAATTGCTCAATACATTGTTTTATAAAAGTTGTGTAGAAAGATTGGTTGATGGATTTACGTGCATTTATCAGGATTATATTTTGAGTCATTTTTAAATTATCTGTTATCAGAACACTCATGAATTTCATTTTTCAATCCAGTCAGTGAATATCACACATTATATTTGAATGTCAGACATGTAGAGTTATGTATTTGAATTGTGTAACTTTACGAGCCAGGATAACTCTTTGTGATGACTGGCTGTGGGATAGGTGACTGGGGGCTTGATTCTCAGCAGGGGCAGGAATTTTTCTCTTTAACATGTCCAGACTGGCTCTGAAGTCCATCGAGCCTTCCCTCCAGATGCTAACAGGGGCTGTTTCCCCATGATAAAGCAGCCACTCATTTTCATCTAGTACTGACAATAACTGTGAAGCTGTCTCCATCTCCCCATATATCTGTGCAGTATGGCAGTTAAGCAGAGGGACATCTTTTCCTTTATCTGCAGTGTAAGGAAATTAGGTATTGATTGAATTAGGAAATGGACACTTACTATGAGCCAAAAGAAGAGAAATCAGTCTATAACTTGGATTGTTGATTGTTTGCGCTGCTGCAGTCGATCCCAGGGCCAGGGAGGAATGGGGATGGGGATTGGGATGCCATTCATCCCCCAGCGCGCGCAGCAAGCCATCGGTCAAGCCGCTGCGCAAGCTGCGGCTCAGGCAGCAGTCAGTGAATTGAAGGGTGCATTCAGAACATCCACTAAACATTAAGAAAATCGTCATGACGTGGGTTAGTCTTAATGATGAGCGAAGGAAGTATCTTTAAGTGTGAATGGAATGCAAGGAAAATAAATCATGTATGAAATGCAATTGTATTTGGAGACAAATCCAGACAATCTGATGGATTAGTTCAATATACAAAATTTTATTAGAAAGTATAAACTAATTCTTGCGAACAAGAATAATTCCTGCATCTGTCAAATGCCATATTTTGAATGTCATCTGTACTGTTAGCCACACTTTGTCTTCCTATGAAAAATGTTTCATATTTCTTTATTAGATGAAAGTGCATGTGGCTTAAAGCATTATCAGAATAAATTAGCAATATAGTAGCATCCTTCTCTGTAATAGTCAGTGTAAGTTAAAAGGAATTAATATATGTTCTTTAGAAATGGGCAACATACATTTTTCACCATCAGAGTAAGGTCCCCTTGCGTTTGATAGTTCATTTTGCATGGCCGTGTGCCATCATCTGTATGTTTCTCATAATGCATTTTTATCCATTAGACTTTTCCTATATTTAATTACCTGTTATTAAGTCCAGTGCATCAGTCTTATTCTTCTGGCTGGCTAAACTTATTAAACAATCATAATTTATTTCTGTATGCAAGAGTGGAATGTCTGTTAATTTTGTCATGTACGTTTATTTATATTTAATCCTTTCTAGTTGTACAGCATATATTGCTTGTTGGCTCCTATTTCATTACTGTCTGTAGTAATGAGTCAGGTGAATGGTTTTGTAGAGATAAAAAACTCTTAATATAACTGACAGATATGTATATTAAACTGTTATGCAACTGTTATAAGTTATGTGACATGACATTTGTAGGCCTAAAATAAGATAACTGATTATTATGTAGGTTAAAGGACACCCCCTTTGTCAGAGCATGTGCATGAGTGAAACCAGAATGAGATAGTTCCAAACATTCTGTTATATAGACAAAATGTTTAACTTTGTGCATTAAAAATGAAAGACATTTAATTGCTAGAGTAGTTAGTTACACTTTCCATTCCATTATGAAAACTGATTGAAGTATTTGTTGGTTATTCTCTTCATAACACATCAGAAATTGGACATATAGTGAGGTGCAAAAAAATCTTTCATGATGAATATTGTAATGAATGTAATGAACATATATCATATAAATTTCATTAAAGGTCATTTATGGCTTTGTCAAATATAAGTTGCCATATCATCTTCATCACCACCGCTGCCACCACTACCACGATCACCACCACCACCACCACTATTATCACCATTATCATTATGCATGTCTGCATTTTGGGGAATGAAATTGCGGGGTTTGAGTCTTTTGATGTAATGTTGTATGCAGGCATTTTTACGGAATGTTACAAGCTCTCTTAATAAACATTCATGCACACAACCAGCTGATAGAAAATGCTAAGCTAATAGTATTGTTTTGTTACAGGTCATTTCTGTAATGACAGACATTACAATAGAGTTATTCTTATAGATTGTGAAAGTCAACATTTTAACAGTTGTGTAAGGAAATAACAGATCATGTGCCCTTTATTATGGCTGTTTATTAAATGTGGTTCTCAGAAAAGTAGTACTTTTTTCAGCATTATCTGGATAGAACTGCATTAATTTTAGGTAAACTTGTATTTCACATGGCTAGCGATAGTATAAAACTTATAGTAACTGTGGAAAATGCATGTTAAAGTATGTGTTACATTAATGATGGAGAGTAAACTGGATACACAACAAATTCTGTGGTTTAAATATGCCATTGGCAGTTCATACAAGTTCAAGTTTTAAAGTCATGATGAAACATTTCTTTCCTAAAACTTGGTACACAAGTTGAACTTTACAGATTATGTATGGTTCAGTGCTTTATGCAGCATCAGGAGGAGTTTTAAATTTTCCTGCAGTTCACTGTTTATTACTGATGTCAGTGCAATATATTTCATAGTTGTGATTTCCCCACACAGGTGAAATTCCTTGTACATTAGTTACACTCAACAACAGAAACAATGTTTGTTAATGTACATTTTCTATTCTGTCTAGATGTTTGCTGTATGTTTGAGCTTTGCTTAGCCTTCACTTCAGGTGTCGATGTATAGGAATATATTTTGTGTGTGTGTTTATGTGTTTATGCAGTGAGCAAACATGTATATACAGAGGAACAGATACTGCATATTGTAAAGCACTTGCATAAGATTTAATTCTCCACAGTTTCAAACCATATCAAGTTGTACAATGTTAAGATTTAGGCCAAACACCACTGACATAACTGATTTCTTGACCCAAAGTAAAAGTGTGTGTGTGTGTGTGTGCGCGCACATGTCTGCATGTATGTGTATGTAGTATAGATTGTTATGACTACTTCGTTTTAAGTAAGACAAGTTTGTTACCTTTGCTTAGATTGTGATGTGTTGTACCGGTTAAATGCATTGACCGAAAGGGAGGGTACATGTAAATAATGTTCTGCTCTTCAACTGTGTGGAAAGTAGCTCACTGCATTAAGTTTATTCTTTGTGCCATATGCTGTCATCTTGCACTTATTGTCACTGGTGTATCAGGGCTAATTGGGGTGGTAACAGGATGTGATGTTTGTTCAGAAGTACCGTGGAATTCAGTGAAGTAAGTACATCTGCCATCAGAGAAGTATGGCAACTGTGGAATATTGACATTTAATTTTAGATTATTATATGCATAGACATTTTCAGAAACACAATGATAACAAAATAAGATTCATTTAGGCTGTACCAACGAAGATTTGTTCACATCTGAACATGTTAAAAGACTTTGTAGCACAGTACTGTTTTTATGTCTATACTTATCACATTATGGTATTAAACTCTCATTCCAGGTCAGTATTATTCAATGCATATAGTAGCATAACCATAAGACATATGAGACAGTGTAGGCAATGTATATTAACAGTTTTCCTGATAATTTTGCAATATAGTTTATACAGTCAATGTATTTATGATGAACAACAAAGTTGTGTAAGATAGGTATAACCATTATGTGTAAATATGACATGTGCAGCAGGATCATAGCTTTCAAGACTTGAATCATTGCCCTTAAATTTTTTCTTTTGTCAAAATGTGATGATCGGGCACTGTATATGTACATATTCTCTTACTGATGGTATACACTTTATAGCCTGCTTGTTATTTGCATGTTGTAGTTTACACATACAGATTTGTTGCCCAGTAGTCATAATCATCATGTAATCATTTAATTTTTCATTTTATATTGAATTTCACTAAATCTAATTGTTAAGAGTGCTTTTTCCCCATATACCCAACTATGTTAAAGTATAATAGTAAATATTTGTATATATGCAACTAATAGATGTATCTTAAATAAGAAACTAAGTATATGACAAAAATGTGTAGAGTCAGTATATATATGTATGAGAGTCAATTATATTTAATGCATATTACATGAGACACTGTTCTGCACCTACATATTAGGATGTGTAGAATGATATAATTGGTCCAAACCTGAGAAGAAAATGTTTGGAGATCACTTGATGTGGAGAAGGGAGCTGTTTGGTGCTGTTCTCATCTCTGCTTTTCTGTTTGAATTCTAATCATAAAATTGTGTTCCTTGTATAAGGACTATAACAGCCAAGTTGAGGGCAAAATGAAAGCACTAGTCAAGTTGTGAGAACCAGGAGGCAAACATCATGTCTGACATTACTTTTTATTGTAAAGCAGAGTTACATGCCTTTCTAATGCAGACTAGATTTGTGTAATGAATGAAGAACATGTTTGATAAATATTCTAAATTATTCTACATAGTTTGATGTTAATCTGTATCATCGTTTCCCACTAGTGGCTGCACAAAAATTGTTGGAAGACACGAGTGTCAGGGTATTTTAATATTTCACAGTACTTCAAAAATTTAATGTTGCACTGGCAAACACAATAAGGTCTTGGGCATGTTATGCTGAAATATGCCCTCATCACAAAATTTTAAGCACCATTTATAATAATGCTGTCAGTTTGGAAAGCTAATAATACTTTGTGTTCATGCAGTTCTTTTCATTTATCCTTCTGGGTTGATTTCTCCTTCTGTTTTGTCCATATACGGTGACACATAACATTCTCATCTGAAGCAGCCCAAGACATTTAATTGTGAAGGTGACATACGCAGGAATGGGTGTTGTTGACATGTGAACATTTTTTTAAATTAAGTTTTCTCATTGAAGGTCTGTGTATATTTTCTTAAAGATTGTCTTTTGTGATGGTAAGTTTCTGCCAGCTGTAAAGTACAGACTGTCTGACAAAGAACTCTGGGATTTGAAGAAATCTATAGACCCAGACAACACAGAATATTGCATATAGCACAGAGTGACAAAATATTCAAGTTTCGTTGTGCAATGCATTGCAGTGCAAAGTAAAGTTTGAGGCTGTGAGTCATGGCATCTCCGAAAGACAAACCATTTTGTGTTCTAGTATGCTGAAACAAAATCTGTTGTGAGTGTACAGTGGAAGTTCTGTCATGAATATCTAAGAAAGCACTCTCCATCTGATTAAATGATCTGGCAATGGGTGCAGCAGTTCTTTGAAGCAGGAAGTATTCAGAAAGGTAAATCACCCAGAAAACCCAGCACCATGGCAGGCAGCATTGAACACATCAAGCAGGCGTTTCTTTGAAGCTGTAAGATATCTGTGATGGGAAAGTAAGCAGCTGCAGATCCCAAGGAACATGATACGTGGTGTTCTTTACAAGTGCCTTAGACTTTGTGGGTATAAAAGGCAGCTAATGTAACAGATTGAGCCAGAAGATCATTAAAAAAATACATGAACTTTGCAAAACATTTCTTGCAACAGATTGACGAATGTGACACTTCTCAGTCGCATTCTGTGTACAGATGAGGCCACATTTTGAGTGCAGTGATGTGCAAAAATTGCAGAACTTGGGGTTCCAAAAACCCACATCACATCAGTGAACACACCCATGATAATACAAGATGAATGTGTGTTGTGTGGACTCATTCAGTAAAGCCATTGGTCCATTTTTCTTTGCAGAGAACAGTTATTAGTGTTTTTTACTTGGACATGCTATTGAACGTTGTGTTACTTCAAACAGAACTTTGAATATTGTCTTGACATTTGTAGTGCTATTAATGGGGCCCATATTGAGTTGTATAAAGTTTATATCTAAAACCCTATACAGTATTGCATTGGGCTAATTCATATTTCAAGCTTGATGTGTTGTGTGGTTTCATTTTCCTGCTTGGACTGTTCTCTATCCTGTGTGTTAACAAATACTACACTGCCAAATCCCGGAGTTCTTTCATACACCCTGCACAAATTAGATCATGGTAAATAAAATATGGTCCAAGAATCTGAATTCAAGGTGTCTTGGAATAATCATGTATATTACCTGTGAAGCTTATAAATTAACTATACTGTACCATATATATCTTGATGGTTTCTCAAGACATGTCAATGAAAATACTTGGTTTTGGTATTATTCTTGAATTTGTAGTTCAATTACAGACTTACAACTGCATTGTTTTGTATTTAGAATATTTTTCAGTCAAATACTGTGGTCAGGTACACTAATATTTTCTTCTGTCCTTTTCTCTTGCATGATTCTAAAGTGGTCTATGACTGCACTCCTGTCTATTTCCCTTTCATCATATCCATAATATATGAATACTAGATACAACATTATGAAACAGTCTTCAGTCTAACACAGTAATTTTGCCACTATTGTTTATTCCATAAATATCAATTCATATTTTAATGTTTTACCTTTTATTTTATTTAATTTCTTAACATGTGCATGGAACTCAGGCAGCCTTTCAGTTTTATCTTATATCATTTTTAAATTTTAATCTTGTATTTCTAAATTAACTTGAAGTTTTAATCCATGTTAATTCTGTGGTGTTTGTTAAGAGGGGTAAATTCAAACATAATTCATATTAACTTAAGCCCTTTATATGAAGTATTAAGGAATTATTCTCTCAACATGAACTTCTGTACTAAAGAAAGGTGTTATGTAGTTTGGCTGCTTTATCACAGGGACTTGTGACAGCTCTGAGATTCCAGTACTTTAAGTTGGATGGCTTATGATATTAAATGCGGTTTATAACTGATTTCGTACAGTTTATGATGGAATAGCTAAGTCTACTAACTAGTCTGTGGGTTGGATGACTAGGGTTTGGTTCCTGGCAAGTGTGGGAATTTTTCTTTTTCCACCACTGAATGTTGGACACTAAAGAAGTTTCAGTGGTATGTGTATAAGAGTGTAGTAGTGTAGATATAAAATAACAGTTAAGATTATGACAAAAGATGCATAGAATTAAGAGAAATAACATGTTTCATGATATGTGAAGTTTAAAATGATAGAAAACAACACAGACTTATAAAAAGTAACAATAAAATATAACTGGCCATTCATTTATTTATTCATTATATTTTCTCATTCTCTTAATCAGCTGTATTCTCCTTTAAATGAAACATTACATAGTTATTGAAGTGGCTGTCTGTCTGTCAGCATCAGTCTAATTTATCATTATTTTGTAGAGATTTATGCAGCACCAATTATTGAGTACATGACTTACAAGTTAAAAAGAGACCACACACTTATATCACCATACCCCTTTACTCATTCTGCTCTCAAACTTTTCCACACTTTTTTGGATCTTGATAAATAATTTACTTTGTTTTGATGTTTTGTATTGTAAAGTATAATTTTGTTTACTATCTAAATAGATGGCTTACAGAACCCGAAGGTTCATCACCAAACTCACCACTGCCCTTCACCAGACCCTGTCCTGGGCCAACAAAATCCAGTCTCTTGTTAACATATATAACTATTTTCTTTGTGAATATTATGCAGAAACACTGTTATTTTACATAAAAATTACACTTGTTTAAATTATGAATTTGTGGTCATTGAATGGGTGACAGTACCTTTGTAAGAAAGTTCTGGATCATAATTTTGACAGATTCTGCCAGAAAAGAGAAAAATTCTTCTCATGACGTGTTCATAGGGCTTTATTTGACAACTGTTTATTTATTCAGCTTTTCTGATTGTGATTTTACTATGTAAATTTATTTCTATTGCCATACACAGGAATTTAATGATTTTATTCCACCATTTGATTTTTTCTGGACACCATAATGGTAAATTGAATATTGAATACCACTAAGGACATTTATTATATGTTGGGGCGTTATTATAGACGTGCTCTTGTTTGAAATAAATGGTACGAGTACAGTATTTGCAGGAACACAGAGCATAATTAGAGCTTCTGGCATTAAAACAATCTCATGCTGTACAGTTATTTTCAAATGTTTTAAACAGTGTAATGGGGTGGGAGAAAATTATAAGTTGTTGAGTTTCAGTTAAGTCTTCAGGTTAATATTGAAGCTTTGTCCAGTCTTGTCCTTCTATTAAGGAAGGAAAATTAAAATGGGCTTCCATAAGCTGTATGTGAAACTATATGAAGAAGCCTTTCATCTTTCCAGATTCATGTTTCATCGTAAACATTGTTAGTCACAGAAATGTATTTTTTGTATGTTTTTTGCTCATACACATTATATTGTTGAGTAAGCATAATACAGTGGCATTTTCTGTGGTGGGAGAATATAAATTGCTTGCTTGCTGTGAACATTCTTGCTTTATTATAAGGTAGACACTTGAGGACCAAATTATTATCAATTAAGATACTTAATTCAGATATATATATTACAGTGGACCAACTTGTTCCAGATATATATATTTGATCTGTAGCTTTCTTAAACTTTCTTCTGAAGGTTTTTTTATTGCTAATACTTGTTTTTGCATATGGCTCATTGTTACATAAGTGAATAATGGCTATACCAGAGACAGAGATTTCAGACAGTTTTAGTGGAACACATTATATCAAATTGATAAAAAGAGGCCAAAAGACACATTCTTAAGGATATTTACTGATACTTTCTTCTCTGAACTTTATGTGTAAAATGTGCAGGTGAAAACTTGTGTGTTTCTATCCTGTGTCTTCTTTCTTATGTCCTGATTCTACTAGTTATTAAGTCTTGCTTCCTATAATTTTATATGACTTCATAATAATAATATTAGGAAGCAGTATATACATACAAGCCAAATAAATATTTAATACTGAGAACAAATTTGATCTAGACACCGATTTAAAAAATACAATTCTTTATGTTTTAAAAATAAGTTTTAATGTTTCTGTTGTTCATTGTCTTATACTACAATTTTTGTTTTTGCCGTAGTGAAATTGCACTTATATTTTGATTGGTATAATGAGAAACATTGTGTTCATCGAAACAACTATTTTATTGGTCTTCAGTGCCACATTTCTAGTTTATAATTCTACTACATTTAATTTAGGGATACTACTTTGTTGTGTAATCTTATTCTGATGTGGCTGCATTAAAATTAATTTGCCTGGGAGTGATCAATTTGACAGAAGCCTGTTTTACACCAAAATATGAACTGCATTGTTCTGCTGTTTGTGTATATGCACACAATAATAATATGTTCAGTATTTTTTTTAAATCACTGAAGCTCAAAAGCAAGTCCAGTGATTATGTATTTAGATGATAAATCAATTGAATGATTGTTATTTGCACCAAGGCTAAAGTAGGATAATAACTATAATCAGAATGTACATTTGTTGGATTGTATAGAATAATTGTTGTTGATGAAAATTCACTAATTTTCCCTTTGAGAAATGTTACATTGGTTATAATAGTTGTCAGTGGAGATTAATTTAATAAAGTATCTTTACTGGCAAATTTTTTTAGTCTTGGAACATGTATTTCTTTCTCATTGAATTCAAACATCAGATTTTGTAGTGGATGAAAGGATCATCTGTTATTTGAAGTTGATGGGAACCTATTGTCTTCCGTTCATCACAATGTAGCATTTTCCTTACTATCCTGTTTATTGCTTTACTCATCTGGAAAGGCAGATTATTTGAATGTACAGGTCTGGTGA